TCCATGAATAAAGTTGACACTATTGTCAGTAAGATCGATCGGTTAGGTTAAACTTCAAGAAATCATTGAATTGACGAATTCGTGTAATTTTATCATCCAAATTGCGGACTAAAATCTTTCCATCTGCAGACCAAGCTGATTTAATAATACTTTTCTGATCACGGGCATATTGAACTTAGTTAAATCTTCGTTAATATAGTATTGTGTACCTTTCAAAAGTTTGCGTTGCCTACAGATTTCCGCCTTTGCACCATACGATTTAAACTTTACAATTACAGTTCTTGATCTCCCGCTAAGCGCTTTCGGACCAAGACGATGTGCACGATCGATATCCCTCTCGTCCACATTAACGTTAAACTTTTCTTTACAGAGCTTAATTACTTCTCCAACGCAATTCTCGCCATCGTTTTCATTCAGACCAACGATTCTTAGATTATACTTTCGGGAATATTGCTCGTTTTCATTTGCTTGAACACGGACATTTGTTAGTTCTGCTTCCAATGCTTCTATCTTTTCCAAAAGAGGTTTTGTGGCTTGTTGGACAGATTCTTCAACGAAAGTGGACACTGCTTTGGATAAAATTTCTTTAAATTCACTGGACCGAAAAAAGTCGTTTAGTTCACTTCGCATCGTTTCCCTCATGTCGGTTCGAAGCTCGGCTGACTGAGAAGCTGCTGCTTGTCTGGTTTCTGGCATGTCAATTTACTTGTTACTCACTATAAAGATTAACAATTAGCCTTCTTGACCACAAGACGTTATCGCATATGTGATAGAAATGTGATAAATAACAGAGCTCAACAAAACACGTCTGCACTCCTCGAGAGTCTGACCAGTTAAGCTGACTATGGTTGGAACGCGTTAACCTTGAGGAGGACAAAGACTTTTCCCCGATAGAATGTCCCTTCAATGCTTTCAGGGACATCGATTGCCATCGCCACACTAGGTGTAAAACGGAGCCTAGTGAAGTCATGGTCGGCCACAACAAGATTCTTATCTTTGGGTATGGCGGTTCCTTCTGGGCACTGACTGCATACCTGTTCGTGTAGATCTCAAACACTTAAAGGGGTTGCAAAGTGAGAACCCACATCATTGCCAGCTGGAGGAAATCCTTGTGTTGTTGGTAGGTAGATTCCAAATGAGGTCTCCCTCATCAAGGATTCTGGACACTCTCGTGTCTACGTCTGATGTCACCAGAAATGCAGACTTGCAACCAGTTGCCCTAAACAAAATATTGTTTCATTGCCCTTGAGTGTCTTTTCCATGGCTTTGACAATACTGCATGCGTGCTTCATTGAGAAAATCAGACTCGGTTTGACGGTTTTCAAATCACTAACTCTTCATAAGAAGTGCAAATGTTGTGCTCCACCACCACTGTGAGTGAATAGTATAGCCTTACAATGTGTTCCTTCCTGAATGACTGACTGAATGAATGATGCATTCATCCTTCGACGATAATCTGGTAAAAAATCATTTAGAAAGATGGGCTCGTCTTCCTTGGTCTGAAGAAGTGACTCGTGAACTGCTGAAAAAAACAGTAAACCATATCAATTCAGTATGTATACTGCACGTCAAGGTCTTGAATAAAGCCCATCTATCTAATCTATCTGCATCATATGTTGATTTTGCAGTCTCGTTGAGGTTTCAGGACACACAAATCACTCTGGAAAGATCCTTATCTGATTCTGCACAAAGTTCAGTCTTGTTACTCTTGTATGATTTTCTTTGACCTGCATTCATTTGAGCAAAGTAAAGGGTGTCCCTAAAAAAGATGCCATGCACTGTGTTAGGTTTAGTAGAAGATTCAGATTTTTATGCTAGATTGAAAAATTAACATATCAAGTCAACACATTCATATTTGACTGATCATGATAACCAACCATTTGCCTTCTAGAATAGCTTAAGATAGTGAGGTGGTCATACCAATATTTCGACTTGGTCAAATTATGGAAAATAAGCTGAAAGTATTGATACTTTAAGGAGGGATATTTGAAGGGAATTGTTGCAAAATCTAACCTTAACCCATTGAGTTGCATTGCGCCCTGAAGCGCCCTATACTTTTAGTATTTTACTCTGTCTAACGCCAGACGATTTTATTTGTCAAGGGAAGAGCACTGGCACTCAATGGGTTAATCAGACTATATGCGTATGTGTCTTGTTAACCCATTCAGTTGCATTGCGCCCTGAAGCGCCGTACTTTAGTATTTTACTCTGTCCAACTTCAGACGATTGTACTCATCAAGGGGAGAGCGCTGACGCTCAATGGGTTAAAATAAGTATTCATGTTCTGCATCATCAATATTAAATTTCTTTTCATGTAGAAATAAATAAATAGCACAAATGAGCCAGAGTCAAAAATCCAGACAGGAAGATGTGCCTAAAATTTGATGTCTTCATAATTTGGAAAAACCCCACCAAATTCACAACATTCTCTATTTTCTGCCCGGGTTACTCCCTCATTATAATTAAATTTTACATTACACCAAATGTTGATGTTTATATGAATAACAAATCGTCACTTTAAGAGTGAAGATAGATGCTCATGGTAAAAATCAATTGTAAAATATTGAGATACTTTTAGGTTATTTTCCATAACTTGGATGAGTCACTGGTGTCGCCATCTTAAGTGTGATTCTAGATCAAGCCATCAAGGCAAATGGTTGATTATTTGATCAGTCCATGCAGGGCGCGAAATAACGGGCGGCCAACGGACATTGTCCGGTCTGAAATGCGGAGTTGTCCGGTGTGACGCGAAATTCCTGACTTGCGAAATATCTGACTATTGTAGAACTGCCCATGCGCAGACGATGCGCATGAATGACTTTGGCTCATAAATTTCACAACTCAACCAACAATACATAAATTTTCAAATTCTACAATTGATCAACTGAATTGACACTATACCACTGGTTGTGAACGTTAGCGTTCAGCGATAATAAAGCTTGAATCTAAAATCTGCGAATGGAAAAAGTCAAATCGAAAAGTGCTCTTAGTGATATAAAATGGACTCCAGTTTCAAAGGTGATGCTATATGCATTGCTATAAGCACCAAAAATCGTTTCGCGTTTGACCTTCTCACTATTTAGCAAGCAGCGACAATGAGTTCGTGTATTGGCCGTTTAGATTTAGCGATGTCTATATTAGAAACACTTAACGATACTATTGGTAACATCGTATACTTAAAAATCGTTTCGACCGACCGTATATATATATTTAGCAAATGTCGTGTATTTCGCGGCCACGACCACACAATTCGCTTTGCAATTTAAAGTGTTTGTAAATTGAAACTTACTGATGTCGATTTGAAATATTTAACGAAGTATTAGAAATTAACATCATGATTATTTTATCTAAACTCTAAAAACCAGTTTTGGCATACTTAGAATTTAGCAAGCGTAATATATTTCGCGCCTGAACGCGCGAAATTTCTGACCCGTCACGCTTGGTCAGGTATTTCGCAGAGGTCAGGAATTTCGCTTGACACCGGTCAAGTTCTTGCCTTGCCGGTCATTTTGACCGGTCACTTGAGGTAAAAGAACAAATTAATCTTTGCTTGACTTTATTTTACGTCAGAACTGCATGTTCTATTGTGCTTAAGTTGAAACTTCGCGACTTCACTAACTACTACAGCTGTTATAAACTCGAATGTATGGACACACGATGTCAGTAAGAAAGAATAACGAAAAAATATGATTTTGATTACGTTTGTTCGTGCACACGAACCTGTTTGAATCTATTGACAGTTTAAAGAGCGTCACGTAAGTCAGAAACTTTTCAGAATATAAAATCAAACACTGACTAATTGTAAAATAAAGTTCAAAATAGTGCATGACCTTACAAATCATCGTCCAGCGGTTCTAGTTAAGTTAAGGTGACGCCGGTTTCGCACATGATCTTCAGTGCACTCTTTTATTGTAAATCGCGACGACTAACGTAAGGGCAGTGCAGGCTATTTTATGCGAAGGGACGTATACTTTAGTAGGCTTTGCTTTAAATTAAGCTCAATAATTTGACCGATCAGAAATTCGATATGTCCGAGCTAAAATTTTATTTGGCCGGTCACCCTAAAATTTTAGAAATTTCATTTAGATATTTTAGAAAACAAACTTGAAATAAAAAAAACTTGTCGGTGAATGGTCCTGTCGGCCTAATGTCCTACCGGCCAAATGTCCTGTTGGCCAAATGTCCTGTCGGCTAAATGTCTTGTCGGCCAAATGTTCTGTCGGCTAAATGTCTGTCGGTGAAAGGTTCTGTCGGTCAAACGTCTGTCGGTCTAGTGTCTGTCGGCCAAACGTCCGGTCACGATTTCGCGCCCTGGATCACCCAAGTGTATACAGGGTGTATAAAAAAAACGCAACCTCGGAATTTCCCAAGAAAACGACATTGTTTTAAAGACAAAAGATTTTAGGCGCCTGGAAATTTAAAATAGCACAACTGTCAAAATTACTGCACACGCGAGTTGCGTAAAGTAAAATTTATGCATTTATTTAATGCAAAACAACAGTAATATGATCTATTAGCAATTTGATTTCAATTCTCAGGGGCCTAAAATCTTTTATGCTTAAGAATTGCAAAGTGATTTCTTAAGAAATTCCGAGGTTGCGTTATTTTTTATACACCCTGTATACAGTATATGGATTGACTATGATATGTTAGTTATTAAATCAATTCTAAAATGTGAATCCTCTATTAAGGTTTACGTAGTAATACCACAAAATATAGTGAGGGCATTTTTTTGAGACACTCTGTATAATACATTTTATTAAATCGGTACCGGTATCACACACAACGCACAAACCAAGATTTTTCACCACATCAAACACACAAGAATACGAAGAAACATTTGTAAGGCCGTTCACAGACTTGTTTTCCCCTACCTTCACGTATGATAAAACACATCTATTGTCATCTTCGACAGAATCGTCATCAAATTTGCCATTGCAAAAGTCACGATACACTGCTGAAAGAGTAATAGAGAGTTTGAGCAAGAGAACGAATTCGGACGACGACGACGTGGTTGACAATTTTTGCCTGTCTTGTACATTATCTTGCGCATTCTGAGTTTAGGGTCAGGAGTGAAGACAGATTAGAGATTCATGTCTAGCTGTTTGTGAATGCTGACTCAAATCCTTACCCTGATCAGGATAAAACAGCGAGACATGAATCCATATCCCGTCTTCGTTCTTCTGCCTTCGTTCACAACGAATATTTTGGCAAAATTCGTTGTGAACTTCGTTCTGCACGAAGGCAGAAGGACAGAGACGGGATATAGTTTCATGTCTCGTTGTTCCCTTCTGGATCAGGGCAAGAATTATGGTCAGTTTTCATAAACAGCGACACATGGGAAGACACGTTGAGCAACTACCAGTGACGTCAAACTCAGTATGCGCAGATAATGTGCAGGCGGCAAAAATTGTCAAGTATGCCTTCGTCTTCGTACTTCGTTGTCTTGCTCAAACTCTCTAATATCCACGGCAAGCGTACCGTCAAACTAATCTTTAATCGGCGTACTACAGCCATCCATGACCGTGCAGCATACATCAAATACCATTAGCAGTCTATTTGATTTATATATTAGATATTTAGAATAGATTTCGTGACATGAGTTTTATTCAGTGTTTATTTAATACAAAACAACATGGCCGTCATGTGGAGTCGCAGTCGAGACCAGAAGGGGTCTGGATGCTAGAATCAAACTGTTGTGTCAACAATGGACGCGTGACATCTGTTGTCCCTACAATGCCAATGGACGCGTGACGATTGTAATATATTGCTACGAGTAAATCGTTGTTTTGAGAATTTAATTTTTACACCAAATAATTAAAGGCTTTTTTGAAAGTTGGAGGTCAGGCACTTTTCTCAGCTCGGGCGGGCACCATTCTCATCCCCAGAGCCATTTATAATTCACTCGCGGTACGAGGTTGTTTTCACTCATTGAAATGTAGGTCATGCGCGGCCAAGAGGCCGTGGGAACGAGGATGGGCGGGGACGCAAAACAAGTAATTTTTTGGCCCAATCGATTTTGCACGAGACTGCTACACGTGCCCTTGCCACGTGAGTTTGAAAAGGAAAACACACATCACAAACCATAGTACAAACCCAGTACAGGAGAAACATCAATATATAATTATGTTTATATACGAGTAAGACAATAGGTATTCCACCTGAATGTGCAGAGTAAGTGAAAAGACGTTTTGACCATTTCGTGATATCGTTTTCGCTCTCAGTCATCTTCATGTAATCGTCACACTGCCGTAAACCGAATCCATCGAAGTGTCAACACGAGACTGAGTGCATACCGATTTCTGATTACTGGGGAGATTTATTTTATAAAAATAAAACACATGGATCTAAAATTGTAAGTATATTTTTTGATAGTTAGATTTTTTTATGCAGGGCTGTTTTTCCTTAATAATTGAAGTATTTAAATGTTCCGCCGGGCAAGAAATACCTGGCAAGATGCGGGTGATCAGTTGTACTTGTGTTGTAGACTTGAATAAATTGGAAACGCTGTCACTAAGGATAAGCAGTGTTTATCGCCCGCCGTCTGCCAGTATAATAATGTGGTTCACATAAAAAACAGTTGCCCGTCGGAATCGGTATGAAAAATCTGAAATGGATACATTTCCATGGGCATTGCAGCTATCTTTGATATTCAGTCAAAGACAAAGAAGTGGCATAGGTGCGGCACGTTTTATTCCAAGCTTTGCAAACCTTGCTGCCTTAGAATCGAGATATAAAACCATTGTGATCTGACAGAGGTTTCTGTCCATCAGAGGTTTCTAGCCGTCAAAGTGAGTATGATATATTACAATAACTAAAGGCTGCTTCACTGCTTGTTTTCTACGTGCGTGTATACGCACAGAAAAGTCTAAATCAATTTAAATGTTACTGCATGATGAAATAACAAAATAACTGAATGAATAGAAACTTAGATAGTATTTAATTTTGTGTATGATTTAATGTGTATTTAGTATTTATATAGTATATTATATATTTAGTATATACTGTTTAGTATAAAGATTCAAACTTTTCCGTGGAGTGCGTACACCCGCGTATGAAGAAGGCTTAACTCCAAAGAGCAAGCTTAAATAGTCCGGCTGAATTCAAGGGCGTAGAAACCGGGGGGGAAGGGAGCCAAGGCCCCAAGTTTTGAGAAAACAAAAAAGTGCCCTCTCTCCGGTGGCAAAGTGCCCTAGCTTTGCCTTCGTGACTGCTCGAAACCGCCCCCCCCTCCCCAATCTTTTGATGCTTCCTACGCCCCTGCGGCTGATAAATCAGATCACAAAAAAATCACATGATTTTTTTATCTCATATACTTTTTAGGATTTTATTTTTCCCCTCGATTACAAAATAATACAGGGTTACCAATAGAATTTGGAGTATAGGAGGCGTTTTGAAAGAAGTAGGCGGCACTTGATGAAAGTAGCGCTCGCAAAATTTTGAAATTTAGACCTTTTATCTTTCGGAAATGGCATTTCCAGTCATTTTTGTCATATTATATCGAAATTAAAACATTTAACGAATAATATCATGTAAAAATTTATGCTTTAAATGTATGAAACCTTTCCCTTGACATTTCGGTTTTACGATTGTCCTATTATTTTAGCCTGCAAAACAGGCGATCGCGGTTGCTGGTGAACGCATCCATTCCATGTATTACAAAAAACCAATTGGCTAGCTGCGACGATTAACAATCAATTAACGACAAACGAAGAGTGAACGAGCACGGAAATAGAAACCTGCCACTAAAAATGTCATCCGAAGTTTCTAAAAGTACAACTTTTAATTTATCGATACTGTGTTATGGCCAAGACAAGGTAGAAAATATATCCAGCGCTTCCACTTGGAAGGAAATTGTAGGTTTGTGGAAGAATAAAGATAAGGAAATGCAGTTTGGAAGGAAATAAAGAAATAAATTTGGTCATCTGGGTGGAAAATGGAAGGAAATTTCAAAATTCGTAATCAGTTTCAATTCATGACTATTATAAGACACTTAAAATTGTTGCCTTCTATACTGAAAATTAAACTTTGTTTTCACCTATTAAAATGATAAAATTGATTTAAAGTAGACTGCTGAACAAATAGCGAAGGCTCAATTTGATCTTTTTTAATTTCAAGGTTTTCCGTGCTTGCCATGTTTTGAAAATACTTATAATAATTATTAATAATAATGATAATTATGTTATACAATAAGGCCAAATAAAAAAAAATACTTGGTTAGCGTCACCGCCCGCCTCTTGATTTTCTGCCGCCTCTGAATTTTTTTTTTTTTATGTAAATCTCTTCGTTTTACAGCTTAAAACAGTTTAATATTTGAAATTTTTCTCATGCTCAGACCTTCGCGCTGTATACTGATCGATAGGAGCGCGTAGGCTTGGGTATACAAGGTCCTTAAAGCAAAATGGCGGCCTTCGCAACATCAGTACAAAAAATATCACCGATATGGTGGAAAAACCGCCCCCATCCCCTCCAAAAATACTATTAAAAAATTGAAAAACGAGTAAAAATTAAAAAAAAAATCCGCCCGCCCGCCTCTGAAAATTTGTGAGAGTGTGACGCTAACCAAGTATTTTTTTTTATTTGGCCTAATTATGTTCATATAGCAACAAAAATATTCCAGTTTTCGAAACTCGCATATTAATTTCAATAGTTGTGCATAAAATTACGAAATGTCTAGTTCTGAGCCCTACGTACTACATAATGCTATAGACATAAAAATATCATATTCCCATAGTGAAAACATGATTTTAACTGTATGGTAGTAACAAATTCGAAGGAAATCAGGAAGGAAATTTCAATACTTTTGGAAGGAATGTTTGGTTTGAGGAAGGATAGAAAATGATTTTTTGTTTTAGGAAAGTGGAAGCACTGAATATATCAGCCGAAGCTGTTTCAGGCATTGCATCTTCTCTTCAGTAAGTATTATTAAATTGTCCACTTTCAAGGGTTGTTGACGATCACCAATATCAGATAAAGGAAGCAGAAATCTTGCTAAGGCATGTGTTTTGAAATAAAAAATTTGCTTGCGAATAGGAATTTTATGTCTGCCGTCTTGTTATTACCAACGTCAGCGATATTAAAGCCAAGGAAATAGCTTAATATATTGGGCATGCAAGAAACTGTCCCTCTCAGAGATAACAGAGTAAGAGTAGTTATATGCCAGATTTTGTTGGCATCTCACTCGATTGAATAATAATAGTTGAAGAATATTGTAGATGGAAATTTTCGAGCGGAAATTTATATACATTAACATTTATTAGTCTAATAATTTATTAGTCAATATCGGTATTGTCTATTGAGTGTTGGATTGTTCTTGGTGTTCATTTTGTTCAGGTACGATTTATATCAACTCTGTTACTTAAGTGCTATATCTACTATTTAATCGTGGGGTAATTTGTCCAAATGTGTTCAGTATTCTGGGCCATTCGTTCGTCCGCATACTAAGAAGTGATAACTGATATGCATGCTCGTTTTGACAAACATGCTTCATTAAATTTCAATTCCCGCAGTGCCAGCCAGTGGCAGTGGGGACTGCCGATGTTCATATGCATGGTGATCGGTGGTAGCCAGTGGTGAAGCTAGCGGTCATGCTAGTCATGCTGGGCATGACCAAACATTTCCCCCCAAAATATGAAAATATGCATTATACTGAATTCAGTGCAGTCAATTATCAAAACATGCAGTATCTTCATATTTTCCCTGGTAAATTTGCTAACAATATCTCGCTAATCCACAATGGCCAACTGGCAACTTCCCATTTCAAGATATAAAATAATTAATCCGTTATTATGATGTCAGAAACAATGGATAATGATACTTGCTGAATCTGTGGTTAAGATCTTTCTCAAATAAACCTAATCTAAGTCTATAGTCAACATCATGAAAAACTCATCAATCAAGGGGTAACTTACCCCTAGCCCAAAATATCTCAAAAACGTGCCGTGAGTCTTGCTTATACTATATGCATATGCCCAGTAAACGAGTTGTGGAAATACAACTTCTGAATTTGCGAAAGATTGTGTAACAATGTTATACCTCAAATTCAAAGTGTCCAATCAGAAAGCTAATTTTTTACCACTTTGAAAAATCAAATGAATCACATCACATGGCGATTTGATCATGTCAGGCGTCACCTGTATGATAAATCCAAGATGAACCGGGCAAATATCCTATATCTAGTATTACGAAATCATTGGTTTTTTAAAACATTTTTGGTAGTTTTACTACATCGAATTCCGTTCGATCAGACTTTATTGATTGTTTGGGTATAGTGTACATTAAAAAGCAAATTTGTGGTTTTCAAAGCAAAGTTATATATTTACCCTCTAAAAGCTGCTAATAAGACCACAAAAGTACCCGAGATTCAGGCGCAGCGTTTTTTTCCAGAATGTCTTTTTACTAGTATACCACTAATATACCAATACGGTGTTACAATCTGAAATAAAAATCTTCCTTACTGTTACTGTGTTACATATTTTAATATCTTTATCTTGTAATCTCTAAAGTCTTTAGACTTGAGTCTATAAGGAACTTGCTCTCATTATTCTAGCTCTGTTCCTAAAATGTGAACTCAACTATATATCATTCATCAGAGAGAATAAACAAGATGAACTACCTACTCCTGCCCATTCAAAGTAGCAATGGGGAGGAGGCTACACCAAGATGTAAATACTTCAACTTCTCTGCTTTGTTATCCTTGCTCAGAGGGCCCTAATTGACCTGGTTTGGGGGGTGGGGATTCAATTATTGTGGTTGTATAATTATAATTACCTCGGTCGTCAGTGGAAAATGTGCTTTCAATTTGATTCTGTCATAAACAGCAGGCTCCCTCTCAGTGTACTCACTCAGATTCCTTCTGTAGTAACACTAAACCAATGAGGGATTGCTCCTTATTCAACCTCTGGGGAGCATATTTCCTTCAAATAAATTACTGAAATAATGGACCATGAATTACAAACATTTTTCCTTTTCTTATACTTCTACTAAAATTAAACGGGCTAGCAAATTTGCCATTTTACTGGTTCAGTTGTGTGTACATTATAATTTTATTTTTTATTGATAGTAAATAAGTAAGTCTACATATTCCAAAGGAAGTCCATGCATGGCTACAAGTGTTGTTATAACACTGAGACCCTATGTCGTAAAATTAAGCAGCCGAACTTCATCCTTGCAGGCCATTGGCATCAGGGGCGTAACTACAGGGGGGGGTTGGGGGGTGTCTCACCCCCCCAATCTTTCGAAACGGTACTCTCGTCGGGCAAAAACTAAGAAAAGGTCGGGAAAAACTACTGAAAATCTAGTCGAAAATTTTAAATCATCTGGATGGGCAGGGCAATGAAAGATTTTAAGTTTCAGATATTGTTCACAAAATAAGGGTTTCGTGCATGTTTTAACAGGAATTTGTCCGAAAATTTTTTTTTTACCTTTAATTGAACTGGTCGTATGTCCGAAAATTTTTTTTTACCTTTAATTTAACTGGTTTTTGTACGGAAAATTTTTTCTGGCCTCTTTTTTTTTAATGTCCGGACACCCCCCCCCCCAATCAAAAGGGGCTAGTTACGCCCCTGATTGGCATACACATATAGGGAAAACTTACCAGATCATGGTTAGGGAATAGGGTACATTACAGTTTACTGTTACAAGTCGGTACTGCAAGTATTCGATGGCGTTTATTCTGATGGCGAGTTCTTCCATTCTTTTATAGTGTTTTGATAGCATATGTATTCAGTGATTACTCAGCTCGGATACAGTGAACTAAATCACGAAGCTCAATCACTTTCAAGGGCTATATGAGAAATTGATCGATCAGTTGTTAAAGTTACTGTATATATCCCTGTCAACTGTTGGTATCATAGCATCTTGATATTTTATGTCGACAACCAAGTCGTTCAATCTTGCATTTTATAAAATTATACAGTCCAGACGAGCAGGACATTTCGACCAGGCCATCATCAAGATTTATACTTCAATGATAAAGCGGTTAATAGATTTCTATGTCCAGCCTTGTTTTCCATCGCTTTGTCGCTTTGAAAAAGTTAACTTAAAGATGTGTTGGTAAGGAGAAACCAAAACGATAACAAAACCAAATATTTTCGGCAACAAATCGCTCGAACTGACCAAATGACCAATTTCATACAAGTGATACAACCTTGAGCGACCGATATTTTCATATTAATTCACCTATAATTCACCACAACCTGTTCATTTTGCAACCTGAAAGGCTTTGACAATACTGCGTGCCTCATTGAGAAAATCAGACTCGGTTTAAACGGTTTTCAAATCACTAACTCTTCATAAGAAGTGCAAATGTTGTGCTCCACCACCACTGTGAGTGAATAGTATAGCCTTATACAAGGTGTTCCTTCCTGAATGAGTGACTGAATGAATGATGCATTCATCCTTCGACGATAATCTGATAAAAAATCATTTAGAAAGATGGGCTCGTCTTCCTTGGTATGAAGAAGTGACTCGTGAACTGCTGAAAAAAAAAGTAAACCTTATCAATTCAGTATGTATACTGCACGTCAAGGTCTTGAATAAAACCATCTATCTAATCTATCTGCATATGTTGTTTTTGGAAAGATCCTTATCATTCTGCACAAAGTTCAGTCTTGTTATTCTTGTATGATTTTCTTTGGCCTGCAAAGCAATACAAATTCATTTGAGCAAAGTACAGGGTGTCCCAGCTGACTAATTCTAACATAAAGTTCAAAATAGTGCATGACCTTAGAAATCATCGTCCAGCGGTTCTAGTTAAGTTAAGGTGACGCCGGTTTCGCACATGATCTTCAGTGCACTCTTTTATTGTAAATCCCGACGACTAACGTAAGGGCAGTGCAGGGGCTATTTTATGGGAAGGGACGTATACTTTACTAGGCTTTGCTTCAAATTAAGCTCAATAATTTGACCGATCAGAAATTCGATATGTCCGAGCTAAAATTGATTTGGCCGGTCACCCTAAAATTTTAGAAATTTCATTTAGATACTTTAGAAAATAAATTTGAAATAAAAAAACTTGTCGGTGAATTGTCCTGTCGGCCTAATGTCCTGTTGGCCAAACGTCTGCCGGTCTGGTGTCTGTCGGCCAAATGTCTGTCGGCCCACCGTCCGGTCACGATTTCGCGCCCTGGATCAGTCAAGTGTATATATATGGATTGACCATGATATGTTAGTTATTAAATCAATTCTAAAATGTGATCCTCTATTAAGGTTTACGTAGTAATACCACAAAATATAGTGAGGGCATTTTTTTGGGATACCCTGTAGCCCTGTAGGCTGTATAATACATTATATTAAAACACAACCGGTATCACACACAACGAACAAACCAAAACACAACGAACAAACCAAGATTTTTCCCCACATCGAACACACAAGAACACGAAGAAACATTTGTAAGGCCGTTCACAGACTTGTTTTCCCCTACCTTCACGTATGATAAAACACGTCTATTGTCATCTTCGACAGAATCGTCATCAAATTTGCCATTGCAAAACTCATGATACAGATCTGAAAGCGTAATATCCACGGCAAGCGTACAGTCAAACTAATCTTTAATCGTCGTACTACAGCCATCCATGACCGGGCAGCATACATCAAATACCATTGGCGGTCTGTTTGGTTTATATATTATTTAGATATTTAAAATAGATTGTTCATGTTTTATTCAGTGTTTATTCAATACAAAACACTGATGGCCGTCATGTGGCGTCGCAGTCGAGACCAGAAGGGGTCTGGGTGCTAGAATCAAGCTGTTGTGTCAACAATCTCGTTCCCCGAGCCGTTGCCGGAAGCCAGGAATTCTGGCTAAGATTGAACTACGCATTCCATTTCAATGGCCAATCAGATTCCTCCCTGAAACGGATTATCCCAGAGCGTCACGTTCCTTCCCGAGGATCGCAGGCTCGGGGAACGAGATTGTTGTGTCAACAATGGACGCGTGACGCGTGACGTCTGTTTACAAGCCAATGGACGCGTGACGATTGTAATATATTGCTACGAGTAAATCGTTGTTTTGAGAATTTAATTTTTACACCAAATAATTAAAGGCTTTTTTGAAAATTTGAGGTCAGGCACTTTGCTCAGATCGGCCGGGCATCATTCTCATTCCCACAGCCATTTTTAATTCACTCGCGGTACGAGGTTGTTTTCACTCGTTGAAATGTAGGTCCCGCGAGGCCGTGGGAACGAGGATGGGCGGGGACGCGAAACAAGTAATTTTTTGGCCTAATCGATTTTGCACGAGACTGCTACACGTGCCCTTGCCACGTGAGTTTGAAAAGGAAAACACACATCACAAACCATAGTACAAACCCAGTACAGGAGAAACATCAATATATAATTATGTTTATATACGAGTAAGACAATAGGTATTCCACCTGAATATGCAGAGTAAGTGAAAAGACGTTTTGACCATTTCGTGATATCGTTTTCGCTCTCAGTCATCTTCATGTAATCGTCACACTGCCGTAAACCGAATCCATCGAAGTGTCAACACGAGACTGAGTGCATACCGATTTCTGATTACTGGGGAGATTTATTTTATAAAAATAAAACACATGGATCTAAAATTGTAAGTATATTTTTTGATAGTTATAGATTTCTGGCACTACGCGACTATTTATGGTTTTTATGCAGGGCTGTTTTTCCTTAATTGACGTATTTAAATGTTCCGCCAGGCAAGAAATGCCTGGCAAGATGCGGGTGATTGTACTTGTGTTGTTGACTTGAATAAATTGGAAATGCTGTCTAAGGCTAAGCAGTGTTTATCGCCCGCCGTCTGCCGCCAGTGTAATAAAGTGGTTCACATGAAAAAAGTTGCCAGTCGGAATCGGTATGAAAAATCTGAAATGGATACATTGCCATGGGCATTGCAGCTATCTTTGATATTCAGTCAATATCTTTGATAGTCAGTAGGTGCGGCACGTTTTATTCCAAGCTTTGCAAACCTTGCTGCCTTAGAATCGAGATATAAAACCATTGTGATCTGACAGAGGTTTCTGTCCATCATAGAGGTTTCTAGCCGTCAAAGTGAGTATGATATATTACAATAACTAAAGGCTGCTTCACTGCTTGTTTTCTACGTGCGTGTATACGCACAGAAAAGTCTAAATCAATTTAAATGTTACTGCATGATGAAATAACAAAATAATTGAATGAATAGAAACTTAGATAGTATTTAGTTTTGTGTATGATTTAATGTGTATTTAGTATTTATATAGTATATTATATATTTAGTATATACTGTTTAGTTCAGTGGAGTGCGTACACCCGCGTATGAAGAAGGCTTAACTCCAAAGAGCAAGCTTAAATAGTCCGGCCTGAATTCAGGGGCGTAGGAACCGTGGGGGGGGGGGGGGGGGGGCCAAGGCCAGGCCCCCCAAAGTTTTG